TATATTTAACTATATAATAATATATAGTTAAATAGAAAGTATATTAAGCTATAAATAATATATTTCTTTTTAATTAGTTAGATTAAACCTACTATATAATTTCTTTAGCTAAAAAAGGTTAACCTAATTACTACCTTAGATTAAAGAAAATAAGGCTCTTTTAATTAATGCTAGATTGCTTATTATAACCAATTTACGCTTTGCATAACACCCAGTCAACCAACTCTTACATGATCGCACGGAGGTGATTTCTAAGCTCTATAGAGAGAAAGACGATGAAATGTCGTATATGCCCTTTAGAGATAGTATTAACCGACGGGAATAACTCTTGGCGCTCTGGGCATATCGCAAATGCCATACTTCCCATGATGGATAACCGAGGCATACAACATCAAGTACTTGCCCAGAAGCTTTATAATCGGGCGAATCAACACATTTAATAGGTCAAGCTTACTGACGCGACTATGATCATTAATCCAAAAGCCGAGCTATTCGCAGCGACAGGGTGCGCGCGACCAACGAGCGTTGAGAAGCCGATCAGTAATCATACAAACAGGACGGGGAAATTTACATAAATCTCCAACGCGGCACCATTTCCGCAATAACAATTTATAATGCGATCTATATTTACAAATCCGTCGGGGTTTTGGCTGGGGTGATAAAGGAAAGCGTCGAGAATAGAATTTAAAGCATTAAAACTGAACAAACCTCATCATGGAGAAGATTGACGATACTGGTATTATGGGCGATGCGTCGCTTGGGAACGACTCTGCGACGGAGGGCGAGATTGAGGCTGCGAGACCGAAGGAGCAGGGGGAGACTGATGAGTTGGATTGGGATAATAGTCCTCATAATCCTTTCAATTGGCCAGCGTGGAAGAAAGCTCTTCAAGTCGTGATGCTATCCTCAGCAGCTCTTCTAGCGTAGGTCCACCCCATCCCCAGAGTGTCTATGTAAACTAACATCTCAGATCAATCGGAACATCAATAATGAGTCCCGCTCGCACAGAGCTCATGATCGAGTTCAACGTCAGCAGCACCGTCGCCCTCCTACCTCTAACACTCTACGTCCTCGCCCTCGGCTTCGGGCCTGTAATCGGCGGCCCGTTATCGGAAACTATAGGTCGCTATCCCATCTACGCAGCGAGTGTTCCTCTCGGTGCACTATTCACTATGGGTGCAGGTTTCGTGCACAATATCGGAGGGCTGAGCTTTCTGAGATTCATGGCGGGTTTATGCTGGGCGCCTGTGCTGGCTGTTGCGACGGGGACGTTGTCCGAGACCTTTACGCCGAAGAACAGAGGACCTGTTTCAGCGGTTTTTATCCTAATGCCGTTTCTGGGTCCGGGGTTAGGGTGAGTTTTGGAAAGGAAGTGTTGAGGACCTGACTGACTTTCTACTTAGACCAGTCATAGGCTCTTTTGTGGTGAATCGAAAGGGATGGAGGTGGACGCAGTGGACGTTGGTATTCTTTTCGATACTGGCTATGATCATCACTGCGTTCTCGCACGAGACGTTTCATCCAGTTATCAAGCGACGACTTATGAAGAAGAAGGGGATGAAGGTTGATGACTCCCCGCCGATGGCTGCTCGACTCAAGATGTTTGCCCTCGTGGCAGTTGTTCGACCTATTCGCATGCTTCTGCTAGAGCCTATCACTGGATTCATCTGTCTGTACGTGGCAGCAGAGTTTGGAACACTTTTCAGTTTTTTCGCCGCCGTTCCGTATACTTTTGGAAGAGTCTACCAGTTCTCCATCGAAGAGTCAGGTCTTGTCTTCCTGTCCATCCTCATAGGCTGCTTTCTCGGACTCATTACCGTTATCCTCTGCGACGTCTTCCTATATCGAAAACAAGCGTCGAAATACCCACCTCATCAGATCCCACCCGAGCATCGTCTTTACCCCTCAATGATTGGAAGTATCGGATTGCCAATCGGATTGTTCTGGTTTGCTTGGACCGTACGACCTGGCGTTTCTTGGGCAAGCCCCGCTGCATCGATGATCATCTTTGCTTGGGGAAATCTCTGTGTGTTTGTTAGCACCGTGCAGTATATCACTGATACGTATCACGGGAGTGTTGTTGCAAGCGCCGCTAGTGCCAACAGTCTGGCGCGATATGGTTTCGCAGGAGTATTTCCCCTGTTCACGATTCAGAGTGAGTTCCCACACCCATCTTTGCAAGAATAATCGCTAATTTTAAATAGTGTATGAGAAGCTGGGTATTGACTGGGCTAGCAGCCTTCTGGCCTTCGTGGCATTGGTCCTGCTGCCAGTTCCGTGGGTGTTGTTCAAGTATGGCCCAAACATCAGGGTCAAGAGCGCCTATGAGACGGTCAAGTTCAATTAAAATAGAGGCATTCAGATATGAGAAATGCGTTTTAATATGTTCTATAGAATTATAATACTCTAATATATGTTGTCAGTACCAGGTCGTGGCGCATTGTCTTAGTTTTTAGGAAGTTGAATCAACTTGTAGTCCTTATCAAGGTAGTACCACAAATCGTACTTCGCTGGTCTCTCCGCAGCAGGAAGAACATTGGACTTGACAGGAATACCGAACTTCTTGGTAGCATCCTTGCTCTTGATATAGCTCTTGTAGCTCTTGGTGCTGGTCTGGTTGTAGTTGATCTCATTAGAGTCAACCTTTCCGCGTACGAGGTCCTGCCAGTCGCCGTGGCTGCTCTTGATGGTCTTGGTCATGAACTTGGCGTTTTGGTAGTCCCCGCCAACGATCTCGAGAACACTGTCGCCGCGGGCGACTTTGTAGTACTGCTGCGGTTAGTGAGTCTTTGGGTAAAGGGGCGAAGAGCTTACGGTGAACCAGTTATAGAAGGTCTTGGCCAGACCGGGACGGTACTTTTCGAGATCCTCGACGGCTGCGACTGTTAGATTTAGTTGACCAGAGAGGTGATAGCACTTACAGTCGACCAGAGCAGCGAGAGGGTCCTTGGTATCAATGGCAATGACTTTCCAGTCAGTCTCGCCACCCTTTACGCCTCAGTCAGCAGTCGTTTTGTGTTAGCCATGTACTAGACTTACGTCGTTCAATGCAAGGCCACCAAGGACCTTGACAGACTTGACCTGTCCAACGTGGGCAGGCCTATATACAAGTCAGTCTTTGCTTTCTCATTCGCGAAGAACACTCACGCCTCGGTGATGTCGAACAGATCAATGGGATCGTTGTCACCAGGGTATCCAGTGAAATCGTGGTCAAAGTTGGGACTCTCCCAAGTCTGGGGGATGGATCCATAGTGGAATGGGTATGACTTGTGAGGCCAGACACTCTCAACGAAACGAGGGGCCTTCTTCTTGTCATCGTGGAAGATGGGGTCTGAGGTCAATTAGTATTGTAAAATTGTACTGTGCGATATGGAGTCACCACGCACTGAGAGGCTCATCACGACGAGTCTCAATCTTGCCATCCGTCCATCGGGGAATCTCAACAACGTAGCTCACGATGCGATTATTGCCCTTCTCAGGGTACAAGGGAATATCGTGCCAGAAGGAGATAGGCTGCCCATCTTTCTCCAGCCAAACACGCCAGTCCTGCACAACTTAGCAACTCTCTCCATCAACCACTGAAGATGACTTACAAGAGTGTTACGAGCACCAACTTCACGAAGCGTCAGGGAATCATAGTCAAACTCCTTCGCCCTCGGCGCAAGCGAAGAACCAAGAACCAAACAAGGCAATAAAGCCAAGTGAACAAGCAAAGAGGTAGCTACCATTGTGAGAGATGTTCGAGCCCGGAGAAATAGAAGGTTAAAGTTACATTGGGTTCCTTTTAAGCTTGATTCAAATAAAGCCAAGACGGATATAACTCGCGTGAGTGTTTTTGCGGCTCCTCGGTGACCAAAAATGGAAGATCGTTATCGGCTCGGATCGGGAGGGCTTATAGATCCAACGACGATGCGGATTTGATGCACGTGGAGTTGGAGTGTAGGTCTTGGGGGGGCTTTTGGTGTAAGTCTGTTGGTGGTTTGGGGGACACACGTGGGGAGGGTGAGGATGGGTAATTTTATTGAGCATGAGCTACTGCAGGCCAAGTTGAATCGAACACCAATGATTCCTGTGAAGATATCATCTTGGCTTGGCTATTCTCTCATAAGAGAACGGTAACTGCTCTTTGATAGCTTGTGTCAATTGAGTCATCTCATTGGGTATCTCCAACTAGTGATGTGACTGGCTATCGCACGTGCTCTAGCTAAGGTTGCGGGGTAAAAGTCAACACCATTGCTAGGGAGTAGGTACTGAATTAAGGAAGAACTAAGTGAATGAATAATACGGCAACGAAGAATATGTCTGTATATGTGTGTTTCCAAGCTCATGTTCAGGACCTCTTGCCGACGGCCCGTGTGACGTGGCAGATCCCCTACTAGTTCATCAATAGTGTCTTTGCGGCAGAAACGATAGGTTCGTTTAACGCTAACGTCACGATAGTCTTCAGCTCTCAGCTATATCGACCCAAACAAGACATGAACGACACTTCAAGCGTTCTAAAAGCTGATCACATACCATTCAGGCTTTTTGTCTCATTTTGAATTGAGTTCCATTCGCTGAGTGATTCTGACCGATGCGGGGCTGGCCTCATTGAGGTCCAAGCAACTGATACATGCAGGAAACGATCATATTCAGCCAGCCACATTTATACGCTTTGATACCATCGACAACGAAATGATGATGTTTCGATTTTGAGAAGGGAGACTGAAAGATATAAGTATGGGAAGAAGATGCACGCAATTTCATAGCAGCCTTGCATCATTTCTTTACCGCCGTTATATCTAAAGCCACACAAGAATTCACCGTAACTACAATGCTTCTCAAGATCCTTGTTTCCATCACAGCTGCCGTTGCAGTCACAGCATCAGCCATCGGTAAGCTACTTGCATAACCCAGCAACACAATCAACTAATTAGTGCCAGACAAACCAGTCGGTGCTTCTGGCTGTCGGTGGGAGGGTACAGCTCCTTACTGCGCAGGCGAGTGTGACGCCGGCTGGACTGAGAGGGGACGTAGTCAATGTGGTGACGGTAGCTGCTGCTGGACTGGAAGCAAAGCCCTCTGCTGCGAAGATGAGGATGTCGTCAAGGAGTTGGTAAAGCAGCAGGACAAAATTGGTGTTACTGGTTGTAAGTGGCAGGGCACAGCTCCTTACTGCGAAGGCGAGTGTGAAGCCGGCTGGAGTGAGAGGGGACGTAGCCAATGTGGTGATGGTAGCTGCTGTTGGACTGGTAGCAAGGCTCTGTGCTGCGAAGACGAGGATGCCGTCGCCCAGGACCTCTAGATGAGCGACTATTGGGAGGCAAGTTCATTTATTTGAACAGCTAGTATGGCAATTGTCTGTGAACATAACTTGATGTCTCATGTTGCCATGTACAATAAGCGTCGTAAGTGCAAACACTCAGTGTTTAGATGAAGAAGCGATAGGGTGTTCGATGCATGTGCATCCAGTTGCAGAGCATCCGAATATAAACTGGAATGCTGGGTCCTATTTCGAAGATGACGGCGGAGTGACCGAGTGGTTAAGGTGAAGCACTCGAAATGACGATATGCTTTGGTTTCGGCCGCGCAGGTTCGAATCCTGTCTCCGTCGCATGTTTTTTTTGTGATTTTTCCCTCTCAATCCCTAACTGGTAACGATGACAGCGCTAGACCCTTTTTTGGTTGTACTTGACAGGGGAAAATCGCCGAATGAGATCTGTAACTCTTGCGTTAGTGAGTCTGTTGTTGTCCTCTGCGGACTTTTTTTGGCAAATTGACAATTAGCGCATCCTCCTTCTAGCTTGAGAAGGCCATCTGTATCAATGTATTCGTTGACGACACATTAAGCAAAACGCCCTTCACCATTCCGGCAATGTACACATGCATTCTTAGGCTTCATCAAGTACCCATGCAATTGAATGATCACGCCCGATGCGTTCTGAGACGATTTTATAGTGAACGTCTTATTCTCTCTAAGCTCCATCGTGCGAATGTTCTATGAGAAATACGTACTTATCCATCATTCTTGACTCCTTTGTCTCGAATCAGCTTCAGCTGACCTTTACATTTCACAAATATTATAATTCGCAATCTTCTGCAGAAGTATATAAGATATTCCACTTCGTCTACACCCAAATGGTGGGTTTATCTGCTTTTGACATTTCGCACTCGAGACTCTACGAAAGCGTTGTTACGCCAGAATTAAGGTTGTGGGGTTCGCCTATACCCGTCCTATCATAACGTCAATGCACCTTTTCAATGAAGAACTTGATGGTTCGTAACGACTTGGACTTATGTTCAAATGTATTTAAATATATCAAGATCGATAGTGATCTGCGAGAAATTGGTAATATTAGATATGATTTCGTGTATCATAATGATGATCCCATCGTGGGATTAATACCACCAGACTTGAACTCCTGTTTAAAAAAGAAAGCAAAAAGAAAACCAGATGCGTCCAGACTCTCAAGCAAATGCGATAAGGTCATCGCCAATAAATTGAGGGCCTGCTTCAACATATGCCCTGTTCTTCTTATTTGTGAGAACCTTGGACGTCGTATCTTGACCAAGGTTCTCGCCAGTATGTGTCTGGCTCTCTTTTAAGCTCTGCACGTAAATGTCAGCATGAGTACGCTGCACCCCAGACACGAGACTAACCCTGAGATGGAACATCTCATCAGCTGCCCACTTTTGAAGACGTGGGAGGGTCATTGGATCTGATGGGCTCCCGAGCCGAGCTCTCATCAGAAAGTGCTGGAACTGGCGTGTCCCGCACCACTTCTCAAAGTCATCGCGTTTAGCTGCCGCGATGGCAATGAGGGCCTCTTCGGTAATGACCTTGCCGTTGGCAAGGTACTTCATGTCTTGCTTTGATAAAGACATCGTTGTTTGTTGGTAGAGGTGATGTCTTGGACTGGTAGTGGTGAGTGATGAAGGTGGGATGGTTATATGTGAATAGAAAAGGCTTGGGAAGTGGGATTCGGAGAATGGTAAGAGTAAAGAAGTAAAGATGTGGAAAGGGGGGGAACAAGGGGTTTATATAGTAATTGGGAAATAGTAAAGGAGAGAAAGGTATATATTATGGGATAAAGCTAGACAATAGAGACTGCCATGGGATAACTCAGAATACCAAGTATAATACACTTATCCAATATAATGGTAGTCAAATAACACCATAAACTTTTCTCAAGCATTTGAGCTCGTATTCTGAGAGATAAAGCTAAGTTGAAAAGTTTGAGAATCTATCTGTGCATTCAGAAGTCACTTGTCAACTGGCATGAAGGGGTCCAGTGGCAGGCAATGAACGCTTTCAAAAGAAACCGTATAGATCTTTACACATCTTGGACTTATTTAAGCCTGGCACTGAGAATACTCTAATATGATATTGAAGAGTTTATCGTCGGTTTCCAATACACTCCCGCACGGGAAAATTGCGAAGGCACCTCTGGAGCTGTCAATCGCCACTCCTGATTCCAACCTTCAAGGTCGATGAAACTAGGAGCCCTCTTCCGACAGAGCTGTCAATCAAACTTGTAGTCTTCGTACACCAGAAACTTCAGTGCCAATTATACATCAAAGTATAATGACGAGAAGCTTTAGACTCTACAAGCTTAAAAGGCCTGCGAGCCAAATACGAAAGGGGATGCGAATAAGCTACAAAGGCAAAAGGTTCTTTCTCAAAAGAAATAAAGGAACTTGCAAAGTCATTTCATTACCTTATTTGGGGATGAATAAATTACAAGTCTTTATACTCAGATAAAGTTTTGCCCCTAACTTTTATACCAAGGTGTAAGTAAAACTTGTATATTAATCCAGCACTTTAACATTATATCATAAATTCTTATTCTTTAGAATATTTCTGACACATTCTATAACACGAATTCCATCTTTCTCAATCAAGATACAACTCCACGGAACACGAGCAAAGCTCGACACAATGGTATGAGTCTCCCAAGCTCGTTAGACATGGCATCTAATTTCAGACTCACAGAATCGTATTTTCCACAAACCTAGCCCATATTTCCTCAGCAACAGCGAATTATTAAGCCTTAAGCACATGAACCCAAGCAAATCTTGCCTCGACAAGCTCGATAAAATGCCCTTGAGCAAGTTCAGCGAATTCTTTTACTGCGACCCGCCGTTTCATAGGTTCATGTGCTATGTTGTCAGGGTCCAAATCGGTACTCCAGAAATGGTCGCGTACTGGCTCATGAAGAACTGGGCTGCAGAAGTACGCGAGGAGGTCTACGGTGTAAGTTCATTTATGGTTTTATTTAGAAAAAAGAGGGAATGATGCTAACCATGCTGAACAGGAACCGAAACCGGATGTAATGAATCTCACTATCTAGGATATGCGTGAGCTCTCTCGACTAGCAGGGTGACAGATACCAGCCTCGCGAAACTCGAAACCATGGACGACGAGGACTTCTCTGTGTACATGGCAGATGCGAACTTCAACAAGTTCGTGACCCAAGTCGTGAGACTCAGACTGGAGTTTCCTCCTAGTCTCAGGATGGGCGTAGCCAAGTTGCGTGCTCGAATGGTAAGTCAGATACTCAAAGACCAACGACATGTGCTGACTCTCAATTCAGGTCTCTGATGGATTACTGACGGTCTAATACGGCGGCGAGCTCACTTCTAACTAAATCAAGGTACTGACGAAAAGACGAGTGGATTGATATTCCGTGAAATATCGATGGGAATTGAGTGCTACGAGATTGCATCGAGAAGGTTTGGAGCTGTGTTGCATAGCTAATCCATTTGGATACGTTCTTGGTATATCGCAGGCGAGAACCCGTAGTCTGCAGAGCATGGATATGGTGCTACGATGCAGCAAGGAGCTGTCGAGGGACCGAAGACCTACAGGCCTATTTCCAAGCCATCTCTCCTCATCACTCAAGAGAGCTGGCAAAGAGAATCCCGATTCAACAGTATATTCGAGCCAGTATAGTAAAAGGTCTATTCGATGCTGTACTTCTTATCCCAGCAGCGTAGCAGAATACCAGTGGTTCAAGTGAACCTGGTGCCCTTGTCTGAGGTGTCATTCAGGAGAAAGGTTTTTTGACGCATCGCGACCAGGAAACTCCACCGTACGTCGTTCCTCTACCATAAAATTAAGATTGAAAACTAGAATGATCTTTCAATTCAAAGTTCCTGTTCGCGGTTCCTTCAGATCCTCTTCCAGTGAAGCGATCGATTCAGCGGTCAACTCGACTACCCGGTAGCTCCAAGAACAAATAATACATTCTACCACGAACAGAATCTTGAAGCGAGTACTCTGCTCAGATGTTTGTTCTGTATCGTATGAAGCTTTCCTTCTCTCTAATTTATTATATAGACTTTGCTTTGGTTCGTCAACTCGATATTACCCAAGCTCAAATTCTTCGAGGTGCGATCGTCATGCTATCGACATGTTTACAGCACACTTCACGAACTACATTCACGACCAATTTCCTGGTACTTCATATCATTTATTGAGGACATTCACAGCACCGAAGACTGGTACAATAAATATAGCACGAGGACATGATTGGGAATGGCACAGCCTCGTGCCCAAACGGACGAGCAGCGAAATTTGCCTACCCTAAACCTTTCACTTCGCGAACATATAACATTAAAACTCAACCGCTTCAACTATATCAGTTCGAATGGATCAGACACTCGGCGCACACGTAATTACATTCATAGGAATGAAATCCACGGGGCTGGCATTCGTATTACTAACGATTTGCGGGTTTGAATGGCTCGAGAGCTTGAAAGCTCACCCTCAGATGGACCTACAACCTACGAGAATCTCAACAAATGCTACAAGTAATTCGCCTACAGCCGAAGCCAGTACATGCATGCGGATACATTCGTTGAGCCATGTCGAATCCTCTCTTCCGAAAAACACCGAAGCCATCTTTGCCCTACGACGCGCAATGTCCCGGCCTAGCTTCTTGATACCGGGTACAACAACAGCCAGCATCACAACACCTCTGTATACCTTACCCTCAAATGGTCTACAACACATTAATTGAGGCATATAGACACGTCGACTCACCTCCCCCGACATCCCATCCCCTCTCGCCACAATAAGGCCTCGTTCTACCCCAGGCGGTAATTCCGCATACTCATCCCGTGAAACTGATTGGACGAGCCAAGTGTGATATCTCTTACAGCAGCGAGGCCAGAACAACTCTACCCCAGAAACCGGTGAGGCCTAGCTACAGAGCGGTCCCAGGGGATCGAGGCCAACGCAGCATGGAATACCATTGAACTTGGCAGCCTCGTGGAGCAGGTGATACATTATCGTGGCTATCTGAGAGGAGACAGGTTCCTCCCCCACACGCGCGCGCGATACAACTCATTGATTGTGACAGCCTTGACCACGGGATCAGGATCTGGGCGAATGAGCATCCGCCACACGGCGCGTCAAATTCAATGGTGAACAGGGCGGGGGAAAAGATACTTTCTTTTTGGATGAACCAGCAAGGTACAGTACTGTATTTTACTGTACAGTGAAGCAAGGGAGAGGAGAGAAAGGCAAAAAAGCAACAATGCTTCAGCGGTGAGGTGAGCTGCAATGGCAGGGATTCATCAGCGCTTTCATTCCGACAACACAGCGACAACGATACCTTGAGCGAAGGATCGAAGCCCGAATATTTCGACGATTGCAGCGTGTCAGCCTTGCATTGCAGATGAACTTGGCTTTGTCACTATTGCAGACGTCAACAAGTCGCCTCTTCCACCGTATAGAAATCTTGGCTGATGTACCCTATAGCGTGCAGATCGCAAATGGTATCAGCACTCTCAAGCTCCGACCAGAACGCATAATTGCTTCGCTCAGCCCTTTCCACCTTGCGATCGCCGTCGCAGATGCCTTATAGTGAAAACTAGCCTCATGTTCATCTGCATTTGCAAATAAAATAAAGAGAAGCAAGGACAAGTGAAGAGAAATTGTGGAGTTGGTGATGGAAGGCTTCAGATGGGTTGAGCGTAGCCAGTTCCCTGCAGGCTTCTCAATCTGTACTCAACGACAGCTCAGCCCATAGCAGCAAGAACTCAGCTCCGGAAACAGAAATGGACTTGGTACCCTTGAGTTCCGTTCCAGAGAAATGCGGTGTCCATGCCCAGCAGGACCCGCGAGACCACGTGCCTTGCCGAGGCGAAGTTGTTTCATCCAAATGACAGAAACAGGTCACCAAGTAGTTCGGACGATTTGATGGCGGGATGAAGTGGTATCCGCTGGCGCGAGGAAAGCCAGTCCTGCGTTATCACAGGCCTGCAAAGGTCAGACGATTTGGCAGACAGCGTCGAATACTGCACAAGTCAACTACAACTGCAACTGCATTGAGTTCAGGACAGGCAAAAAAAGTGCCTGCAGTAACTTTAGAAGTGCCCAATGGCTTTGCATGCAATACGCAGGATCCTGAGAGCAAGTCAATGACAACCTCTTGCATTCAGACCTGAAATGCCGAATATCCCGTGCCTCAAATTTCCGTGCTTACGATGAGCAGAATCTTGCTAAGCAAAGGCTGAGACCGACATGTGCATCGCGTCGCGCCGCAGCATATGAGAGGAGGATTGGTTGTGCCTCAATGCCATGTCCCAGTTCATAAAGTCAGCCGCACGAGAAGCCATGGCCACACACACCCTTGTCGCGATCGTCAGGAACGAGACACACCAAAAGCCACCGGACCCCAATGCCCGCTGGCCGCGTCCCTCTTTAGGCATAGCCAGGGCAATTTCGAGGGTAAGCAAGGTGAATGTTGGAGAGGCTGAGAAGAAGAAAAAAGTCAGTCAGACACCGTTGAAAGCTTTTTCATCAGAGTTGAGACATTGTTCCTCTCCCTGCGGCCGCTGAGATTAACCTTGTTCCTTTTGTGTGTTCCGTTGCAACCCTTCCAGTGAACCATAACCGCTGGAGTAATATGCAATAAGCAATTCAAAAGCTTACATGTGCAGTCGAGTCTGCTTCCATCCAACTTCCACCAACTGCGTGTGGATGTAAGGGAACCCCTTCCATAGGCCTGCATATCGACCGATTTCCCTCCCGCCGATGTTCCCCCACGATACATCGCAGATTACCATCACGTTATCAGTTCCCGGTGTCTTCTCTTCTCAGCGATGCACTTCTCACGGATACACTCGGAGCCGCTTCTCGGAGAGCAGCCAAGAGGGACAAAAAGACGCGGCGTGGGGCCGGTGGAAGACTCTTTCATGATGACGGAAAAAGAAAGGCAAGACTGAAAATTCTGATCCTGTAAGCCCGGTGGAGATGCATGTGGGAATCTTCTGGCCAAGCACCCAAGGCACACAAACTGTCGTCAGCGTTGTTCTCCTCTGTTCCTGGAAAAAGCCCTAGCATCTGGTCTTGGTTGGTCGGTCTAATTGTGGTTCAACTCGACGCCAATCTATTCCATATTCTGTCTGAGGCCGAGTTGGCGATGATGTTTTGGCGTTCCTGCAGATGGATGCTTCACAAGCCGGCTGACCTCAAGCACATGGCTTCTAAGCATATCTACGCTTGATGTAATGGTCAAGCCTTTCGGGTAACAATCAAGTGATCCCGCTGGGATCGTGACGTGCATCTTACGAGCCGAAATAGACTCAACGACGTTACCTCAAAGTTGTAAGCGATAGAGTCGTGATTGGTTGCAGTGGACGAAGTCGTCAACAATTCATGAGGCTCATGCACGTTTCCCATCATTTCGGGGGGTCTCGCAGGCTCTGAGTGGCAGAGTTTGTCCTGTAAACTTGCAGTTGTGCCTTTTGTGGGTGACATCGCGATTAACGACGTTGACGGACGATGTAACCCACACTGAAAGAATTTGAGGCCATTGCCCAATCGAGTTTTCTTGGGAAGAGCACTAGTATCGCCACCAGGAACAGGGTCAGATATCAAGGCGATCTCGGCGGCTTGGGACCGACCTGGCTACATTGAGAGATCGTTGCATACTCACATGCTTCAACAAGTCTTAATTGTTAATGATATCGGAGAACATGTTGAGTGTTACACAGTGTGCAGTTGCTCGGCCCTGCTCTCATACGATTTCATTCAGCATCTTCATGAATTGGCAATCACATATGCAGTCGCATTGTGCTTTTGTGAAAGGAGCATTGAGTTTATGGAATGCAAGCCATTGCAGCCGCAGCCGTTGGAGTGCCGTGAAACACAACGGTATAGTTAGGCGGCCCGTGTGTCATTCCCGGTGCTGATTCTTACACCATGGCTGAACTCTGTTCTCAACAAAGAGACCACAAAGTCATAACGTCCACGTTAAGGTCAAGGTAATTCGTGGGCTTCCACATTGAAGCCCGTGCTTCAATTGTCATCTTGATCAGAATCTCGTCATAACCGCGGCGTTTTGACGGTTAGTAAAGAGCGTGCAGGTATAGTGCGGCGCCCAGAAGGTCGATTGGACGGTCCGATACCAGTAAGCGTTGCAAACTCTGCTGACTTTTCATCCTGGCCACGAATTTTGGACCAATTTGTAAAAGCCCCACGAAGTATTCAATTTGGCAAACAGACTAAATTCCAAGAGATGATGTTGATCATGATGACAATGACGGCATTTGGTGGATTCTTGCTGAAGCTCTTTCACTCAGGCACCCGCAGCCTTGGTTAAGCTTCTTT